GGTTTGATCCTGGGCAGTGATCCTTTTTAAAAGTTAAAATGGCAAATATTAGAGCCATGTATGACGGCACACGCTTGTGATCCCAGCACTTTAGGAAGAGGCAGCTCATTGCAAAGGCTTGTTCAATCCTTAGTGCTGTTGCAAAAGAAAAAGATTGTATAGGTGGGGCTTGGTGGGCCGTGCCTGGGCTGCGTGGGTCGAGTCTCTCAAATTTAACCCACCCCGCTGTAGCAGGTTTGCCAACTACAAGTCTCAGAAAAACTGGTCAGGATCCATCAGAAAGAGGCAGGAGTAGAGATCATTAGGCAGAGTACAGGCTGGCTTTACAGAGGAACTAGCAACACTCCAGCTGTTCCTGCGAGTGGGCGGGAAAGCCCGGAAGGAAGTGCTCCTCCTCCTCCTTCCCCACACTTGGGTGGTTTGTGTTTTGTTTCTTTCACATTCCTGAATTCCCTCAACGTGTTGTTTACTTTCTTAATTGGGCCAATTTATGGTTTTAGGGGTGGCTCCGGTAGGGAAGAGGAGTAAATCTAGCCAAGGGATGTCCTGAAAGTTGCAAGCTTTCTTACAAAGTACAATTTTTAATTATGATTTTATCTCCTTTTTACCTATTTTTTATTTCTTCTAACCTATCTCACAACTACTTAGGAGGCTGAGGCAGAAGCCTGGCAAGTTGAGGCCAACCTGGGTAATTTAGCAAGATCCCCATCTCAAAATTAGGACTGGGGGTGTAGTTCCGTGGTAGAGCACTTGCGTAGCCAGCAGTGAGTCAGTCCTCAGTGCCACAGAAAAAACAGATCATTCCATTTCGGAAGAAAACTGTAGACCACCGATATTACACTGAGTTGTGGTTTAGATCTAGAATGGGCCCCTTCGGGCTTTTTGAAAGTGACTGGCAAATTCATCTGCTAATGAGTTTCTGGTGTGTAGTTAGGAGGCCAGTCTGGCTGGAGGAGGCAGTTGCTAAGGGCTGACCTGGAAGGGCAGATCTCCTACCTGGCTCCTCCCTTCTCTCTGCTTCCTGCTGTCCTGGGATTGTAACCATGTGGTGGATCAACATACAGATTCCAAGCTCTGGTGTCCAGCAAGCCAACTCTACTCAGTGGGGGAGGAAGAGCGCTACATTTATTGAGGATCACCGCCAGGACGAGAGGGGCAGGGTCCAAAAGGAGAAGAAAAGGAAAAGCCTGTATGTGCTTTGGTCTGGAGTTATGTAGGTATGGTCCTGGGCAGAGGGGAGCGGTCTCCTCAGCCCCAGCAAGACGGGAGGAGCTGCTCTCTTCTGCTCAGGCCCTTCCACCAAGCCGCTTCTGCCTGGGAGCCAGCTGACCATGCGCTGAAAACAGGAGTCAAAGTAAACCTTTCCTCCTTTAACTTATGGGTGTCGGACATTTTGTCCCCGAAACACGAAGATGACTAAGATACACTATCAGCCTGAGGATTTTAGATGTGCCCACACACTCGGAGAGAGGTTTGGGGTGGTGAACAAACACCTGTGGTGGCAGAGGCCCGAATGCCAAGGGCTAAGGCTGATCCTGAGGCTGGGAAGCAGGGAAGGTGGAGGCTAGAGGTACCAGGCCCAAGGCTGCCGTGGGTGGCAGTGGAGGAGAGAGAAGGGGGAGGCCCAGAGAGGCTGGCAGCAAAGTGCCCCCAAAAGGCAGCCGAAGCTGTGGTGGGCCTCTAGAGAACTGCCACGGGGCCCTAAGCCTCGGCTGCCATGGCACTGCTAGGGGAAGCAGAGAAGCTGGGGGACTGGAACCCCAAGGACTCTCAGAGCTAACAGGTGCTGACACTCAAGGCTCAGAGTTGTGGCACTGAGGCCTAAGAGCCACTGACACTCAGATGCCAGGGCCATTAACTGCATCAGAGCAACACTTTGCCATCCGAATAGGACAAAAGAACCTTCAGTCTCAGATACCGTGGAGACTCAAGTGCAAAAACTAACGCACAGCTGCTGGAAGTTTAGCTCAGCGGTGCCGCCACCTGCCTCGAAAGCGCAAGGTCCTGAGTTAGATCCCTGGTACCAAAAAACCCCAAAAAACTAATGCACAGGCTACTTGGTAGAATAGGTAGACTAGCCAAGTATGGTGGCACACACCTCTAATCTCAGCACTTGGAAGGCTGAAGCAGGAAGGTCATAAATTTAAGGCCAGCTTAGACTCCAGAGTGAGGCTGTCTGAAAAAAGGGCCAGAGGGTGGGTGGCATGCCTGTAATCCCAGCATTCTAGGAGGTTGAGTCAGGAGAATCGAAAGTTCAAGCCCTGCCCAGGCAACAGCGCAAGTTAGGGAGGCCCAATCACACATGCTTGCACACACACGCGTGCACACACGCGCGTGCACACACACACAGGCTGGGGATGCTGGGGATGTAGCTCAATGTGAAGCCCTGGGTTCAATCCCCAGTAGTGGATTGGGGGTTGAGGGTGGAGAAAGAAAGAAGAAAGAGGGCTGAGGATTTAGCTCAGCGGTTTCACCACCTGCTGCACGATCCCCAGTACCAAAAAAAAAAAGGAAGAAGAAAGGGCTGGGAAGGTGGTTCCGTAGTCCAGGTAGTACAGCACTTGCCTACTACTTGTGCAAGGCCCCGAATACAGCCAAAGGGTGTGATCTGAGGAGCCACAGAACAGTAGGAGGTTTCAGAGATAGGAAGATTCTCCACCTCATTTGTAAGGAGAGAAATGGAAATGACAACTACCCTGTGGCGTTGTGTCTCCCCCTATCAGTATGTAAAAGTTCCAGAAGTATTTTATTCACTCTTGGCCATGGTGCGGAGATACAGGCACTCTGATAACACTGGTGGGAGTGTGAGCTGGTGTGATTCTGTGAAGGGGCAGTCACCGATATGACAGTTAGAAACCTGCACACCCACCCATCCCTGGTGGGAACTTCCCTTCGTCACAGGTGTGCTGTACCACCAATCAGCCCCTCCAGTCTGTCTCAGCAGTTATATTTGTGGCAACTTTTCCTACAGGAACTCTATCACTAAGCTACACCTCCAGCCTGTTACTTACTTTCTTTTTTTCAGTACTGGATGTTGAATCCACGAACTTCACACTGTGCTATATTTGCAGACCTTTTTATTTATTTATTTTTATTTTTTTGGTACTGGGGAACGAACTCAGGACCTTGTGCTTTTGAGGCAGATGGCAGCACCACTCAGCTAAATCCCCTGTATTTTTTTTTTTTTTTTTTTTTTTTTTTTTGTGGGACGGACTCTCACTAATTCAGTATAGCTCAAACTTGTGATCCTTCTGCTACAGCCTCCCACAGTACTGGAATTACAGATGTGTTCCACTACACTAGGCTCCAGCCTGTTAATTTTTCTCGCTCTCTCTTTTCTTTTCTTGAGACAGGATCTCCTTATGTAGTTCCAGCTGGCCTTGAACTGCGTAGCCCAGGCTGACCCCGAATTCGCGCGATCCTCCTGCCTCAGCCTCCTGAGTCCTGGGACTACAAGCATGCGCCACAACACCTGGCTATCCTTACAGTATATTACATATTTTGTATGTAGGCAGTTGTTCCCTAACGACCTCTTTACCATAAAACCTGAATCAAAATCGACACACCCTGTCTTATATGGAGGAAACTTTACTTACATCAGTGTGCACAGTAGAGCGAGCGAGCGCTACTTCCCCAAACTTAGCTATCGGAAATTTGCTTGTCCAATTTATTCCCAAACACTGGACCTTCGGGCAGTTAGTTCTCGGTTTTAACACTTGGCTTTCCAAGTTCTGCAATTTAGGAGCTGCTATTTTCAACGCAAGGAAATACTGTATTACCGATCAAGAGAAAAGACGCCCCCCCCCCCCAATCTAACAGGGGGAGGTCGCCAGTTGACCCAGAGTCCCCGGCTTGCCCCTGCGGGCTCTTGGAGCAGCTGGCTACGGGAGGTCGTGCTGATTGGCTCGGGTTCAGGCCAAGGGCGGGCCTTCAGCACATCGCCGAAGGTGAATGGCCACTGGAGACCCACCCCCCTCGCCGATTGGACATAGCGCTGAAGCCCGGATTGGTACAGTCGGAAGGGCTGGCTGGCTCAGTGGTACATCTGGCTCCTGGAGCAAGGCAGAGATGGCGACTGCGATCCGACTCCTCTGTCGGCCTGTGTCGAGCTGGAGGCTGCAGCCACCGCTGCTGCCCCTCGTCAACCTGGTTTCTCGGCGGGCCCATTCTGTGTTGCCCGTGGACGATGCGATCAACCGGCTAAGCGAGGAGCAGAAGCAAGTAGGGAGACCGATCCCAAGGTCGCCTCTGCAGAGCCCGCCGGTGCTTACGGGGCCTTCGGAACGAAGCTTGGCCCCGGGCCTGGTTGGGCTGCCTGAGAGCCGTCTGATTATCTGGTAGCGTCAGGCGTGCTCTTGTGCGTCTACTAAACGACAAAGCACCTGGGTCGTAGCTGGCAGAGATTTCAGGCTTGCATCCTACTTCTATCTTTCCACCCAAGGGATTCTGTAATCACAACGTTTTTTAGTCTAAAGCTCTGTGTTAGTAAAGAGCCTGACACATACCGAGACCTGATGGAGGCGTGGGTAGAGCTCCTCGAGGGTTGGGGGGTGGAATCTACCTGGAAGGCCCCGGGGGGCCCTTCCTGCAGGCTTTGTAGGCCTGGGTAAGGAGCCTGTATTTCATTATAAGTATGAAGGAAAGAGATGGGCTAGCTTTATACAGGAGAGTAGCAATTAGAAAAACCATCAACATTAGGCGTTTTTTAAATCATCAAGCCATTTAAACCGAGATTTTTTAAAGGGCGATCTTGGGCCGGGGATTTAGCTCAGTGGTGCCGCCGCCTGCCTCGAGAGCGCAAGGTCCCAAGTTCAATCCCGGTACCAAAAATTAAAAGGTGATCTTATTCTGAGGAAGCATAAACTATTGAAGCCCGAGTTTTGATCTATGCCGTTTGGTGTGGTCACTTGTGTCCTGGCTCCCTAACTTTGTCCTCAGTAGTGGAGATGCTGCTGCAGTGGCTTGGTTTCAGTGCCATCTGCCCACCTCTCTCCCTCTAGCTTCGTCAGACCATGTCTAAGTTTCTTCAGGAGCACCTGGCTCCCAAGGCCCAGGAGATTGATCAGAGCAACGAGTTCAAGGACCTTCGAGTGAGTTAAGTCCAAGGCAGGGGTGGGGTGGGGTGGGTGGGGTTGGGTTGGCGGGTGGTTAAGTTGCACTGTTGCCTGAAAGAGCTCACATCATTTCCTGGTAACAGAAACCTCCCGAAAGATGGAGCTCTTTCCGTGGAAGCACAGGTCTGTTTTCCACCCAAATGTGGCTGGCTGCCTTCTTACAGCACCGTCCACCCCATTCTCTTGACAGGAGTTTTGGAAACAGCTCGGGAGCCTGGGGGTATTGGGCATCACAGCCCCGGGTGAGTATAGCTTCTTTCCCGAAAGAACACTTTCTTCATATGCCCTGGGAAATTCTCTGTGTACAGCAGTTGTCCTAGGGACTCAGACTTACCGCTATGATTCCTAAGCTCTGTCCAACAAGTGGCTGGTAGGGCCGGGGATTTAGCTCAGTGGTTCTGCTGCCTGCCTTGCAAGCGTAAGGTCCTGAGTTTGATCCCTGGTACCAAAAAAAAAAGAAAGAAAGAAATCATGCAGCTCAGTGGTAGAATGTGGGCTTAGCATACAGAAAGCTCTGGATCAGGTTTAAAAAAAGAAAAGAAAGGGCCAGGGATTTAGCTCAGTGGTTCCACCGCCTGCCTCGCAAGCTAAGGACCCGAGTTCGATCCCCGGTACCAAAAAAAAAAAAAAAAAGAAAAAGAAAAATCAGATAAAACCATCTAAAGGGAGAGCTTTTTTTCTTTTAGAGACAAAATCTCACTATGTAGTACAGGCTGGGCTTGAACTCACTATGTGTCCCAGGCTTCCACTTGACAGTGGTTACTCATCTGTCTGTTATCTGTCACTTCACCTGTTACTGGTCCCACTTTGGGTCCAAAGCAGTTCTACAAAAGTCTTGCCTTGGGCTGGGGATGTAGCTCAGTGGTGCTGTGCCTGCCTGGCAAGCGCAAGGTCCTGGGTTTGATCCCCGTATTGCCAAAAAAAAAAAAGTCTTGCCTTCCCAAGGTCCTTGCACATGTTCTTGGCTTCATCTCTGGTTCTTGGTGCTTTGGACGCAGCCTACTGGTCCACCTTTGTGTTTCTGTTACTCTCTGTTCACTCATCTACTTCTGCTTCTGTAGCTTTTGTAATAGTGCTGCTCATTGTGTAAGATGGGGTAAGGCTGGGAGTGGCAATGACTGTCTTCTGAACTGTAGCTTGGCCAGCTCCCCAAAACAGATCAGTTCTGTGGGCTTAGAAGAGCCTACAGCAACTGCCTGTTGGCCTGGCTGGGGAACTGGAACAGGTGCTGCAAGAGTTAGCCATTAACGTGAGGTTCCTGCTGTGCTCCAGTATAACCAGCTGCCCTTCTGCCCCCTCCGCTATCCCTCCCAGTTCAGTACGGTGGCTCTGGCCTGGGCTACCTGGAGCACGTGCTGGTGATGGAGGAGATATCAAGAGCTTCTGGATCAGTGGGCCTCAGCTACGGCGCCCACTCCAACCTCTGCATCAACCAGATTGTGCGCAACGGGAATGAGACTCAGAAGGAGAAATACCTTCCCAAGGTGAGGTCATGGGCCCAGAGTTGCTTTGACTACAATTTTAGGTTTGTTTGTTTTGAGACAGGGTCTTGCTATGTAGTTCAGGCTGGTGTTGAACTGAAGCCACTATGTAGCCCAGGCTGGCTTCAAACTTGTGATCCACCTGCTGCAGCCTCCCAGGGCTGGGATTATAGGCATGCACCACCATACCCAGCAAAAATATAAAGTTTATGTACAAAACAAATTGAAAATAGGGCTAGAACTCCTGAGTTGGGCACTACATAGGCAACAATTGAAGAGAAATAGAAGGCCAGGCATTCAGTGGAATTGGGCACTGGTGGTGCAGCTCAGGGAGAGCTCACCTATTGTGCATGAGGTCACAGGTTCTACCTGCAGCACTACTGGCCTTGTGGATGCTGGGGACAACTTGTCCTGAGAGTGTGCTGGGACCCAGTGCCAGCAGGAAGAGGCCATGGCAGAGCAGCTGGAAGAAGCTGCAAGGGCCCTAATCAAGCTTGTGGTTTTCCCCGTAGCTGATCAGTGGCGAGTACATTGGAGCCTTGGCCATGAGCGAGCCCAATGCTGGCTCTGATGTTGTCTCCATGAAGCTGAAAGCGGAAAAGAAAGGTAAGGCCACTGTCAACTTACGGAGCTGAAACAGGCAGAGGAACAAACTTTTGCAGAATGAGGGAGTAGTTGGGGTGGCCCCTGCCGGGTTTCCAGCATGCTTCTCAGCTGAGCAGCTTCTCCCTCATAGGAAGCTCTGTGACTACCTGACTCACACAGGCCAAGCTGGCTTGAGCAGGGAGCCCATGTCCTGCCCTTAGGAGATCACTATGTCCTGAATGGCAACAAGTTCTGGATCACCAATGGCCCCGATGCCGACGTCCTCATTGTCTACGCCAAGACAGATGTGGCTGCTGTGCCGGCTTCCGGGGGCATCACGGCCTTCATTGTAGAGAAGGTAAGGATGGTGGATGCATGGTCAAGGAGGCTTCTCCATCCTGGCAGAGACCAGAGGTAGCGCCGTCTGGCCAGTCAGTGTTGTGTGTTCTGCTCCGGTGGCATGGGGAGACAGAGAGGACAGCTAAGGAGACTGAGAGGAGGGTGACCAAAGTCAAATCCAGGGAGGATGGGTCACGTCTGGATTGTACAAAGAGGTCCAAGAAGAGGAGGACTGAAAGAAGGCCACTAGCTTTGACAGCCAGGATGTCCTTAGTGAGCTGGGCAAGAGAGAGACAGTCTTGACAGTGAATGCAAGAGAAAGGTAGAACAGGCCTCAGAATTAAAACTTGGGAGTTTGGGCTGTTTTTCAAAGTATGGGAACCGGAGCAAATGCTTTAGTAAAGAGGAAGAAGAAGGAAGGGTACTGGGAATGGAACCCAGAGGCTCATCCCGGCTAGATAAGCCAGTCTGCCACTGAGCTGTGCCCCAGGCCCCGTAGAGAGACAGATGAATGTGTGTGCAGAGGTCTGAGGCACCCTCCCTAGATGAGGGAACAACAGCTGTCCAGGACTGGCACAGAAGGGGACTGGCTGTGACTAGAAACCTCCAGGTTGTGGGGTAACACCACCCGCCCTTACCTGCCCAGAGTCCATTGCCAGCGCCCTGCTGGGCACCTGCCAGCACACAGGCATGCAAGTGGCTGCATCCGTCTCTGGCAGGACTCCATTAGGAACAGATGGCAGAAAACCAAGAAGGTCAGAGGAAGTGAATGCCCTGGGAGTAATAGCCCCTGGAGGAGGGAAGCAGAGTCAGGCAGGGTTGGGAGTTTCACTGGGGAGGAGCTAACTGCTCCCATGAAAACTGGGGAGAAGGCAAAGCAGCAGCAGAGGAGGTGGGGTCCTGGGACTGGAGCAGTCTCACCCCGGCGTGGGTGCCGGGCAGGTGTGGGGACCTGCGGAAAAGAAAAAGGCCTTTCCTTTACCAGACCCCCTTGGGAAAGCCTAGCCAGGGCCTCCTTTTGTTTTCTGTGAAGGGAATGCCAGGCTTCAGCACCGCCGAGAAGCTGGACAAGCTGGGAATGAGGGGCTCGAACACCTGTGAGCTGATCTTCGAAGACTGCAAAGTTCCTGGTAAGAGTCTCTGAGAATGAGGAGCCCTCCTCCGCCTTGACCCCTTCACGACCTCATCTGGTTGTTCTCAGGCTGAGAGAAAGCCCCTGTGCTTACTCATTAGCTGGTCCCTGACAAGGCATGTGGACGGCTGGACCAGGAATGCTGGCCTGGCTGGGAGGAGGAAGGGGATGTTTCCTCTGTGAATTATGCACCGACTGGGGTTTGTGTTTCAGTAGCTGGGGCAAAAGGTCAGAGCTACCCCTGCCTGCTCCTAGCCTTCAGACTTCCTGTACCTTTATCTGTGCAGCCTCAGTGTTACTCATTCGTGACACTAACAAGCCGTCTGAAGAAGCTCAGGGCACGAGAGGCAGTGTGGTCGTGGTAGGCGGGTGTTCTCCCCTGAGTTCTAGCTGGAAATAGGACCCCATGTAGCACCATGGGGAGCCAGCACACCCAAGGGCATAGCTCTGGTCACCAAGTAGGACTGCTCATGCCTTAGCCACAGACTACCCCCCACCCCCACAACCTGCCACCCCCAAAAAGTCTGCTGTAGTTGGAAGGGACGTCTAGGGAGGGGACCTGTGCAAGTCAGCAGCATGAAAGGCAGGTCAGTGGTGTCGAATCTCTGTACTCTGAGTTTCCTGCCCACACCTCCCAAGGTCATCCATTCTCCTAGCTTTCTAGCAAGACAGGTGCTTGCTCGGCAGCTTCAGTGACTGGCATGGAATGGCCCGGCTCCTGGACAAAGCAGCTTTCATAGGCCACCCTGTGGGGAGGCGACCCTGGACCAAAGCAAACAGCTGGAGGAGAGCACTTCTGTGGTTCCTCTGTGGGTCCAGGTGTAGAAAGAACCTAAGAGGAACGGGGGATCTCCGAGACCAATTAGCTTTTCTACTTTCCCATCCAAAGGAGCCCAGGGAGAGCAGGGAAAGATCTGACAATTTAGGGCTTTGTATCTTGTGTTCTGGACGGTGTGGGGGTCCTGGAAACTCCATTTCAGACTGGAAATGGCAAAAAGGGTCCTTTGCTCTCACCGGAACCCTAGTGGAAGGTCAAGTAACATCTCCGTGCCTTGGGTAAAAGCATTTATCAACACCACCCCCTTTTTTCAGTACTGAGAATTGAACCCAAGGCCTTCACACTGAGCTACATCTCCAGCCCTTTTTATTTTTATTTCCAGACAGGGTCTCACTAAGTCGCTAAGTTGCCCGGGCTGGGCTCCAGCTTGTGATCCTTACGCCTCAGCCTCCCAGAGTGCTGGGATTTCAGGTGTGCTGCACCACACTGAGCTAAACCCAGTACCTTTTGTAAAATGTGAAGAGGCAATGGGATGTGGTGTTGCACACTTGAAATTACAGCACTCTGGGTGGTTGAGGCAGGAGGGTGGTAAGTTCAAGCCCAGCCTGGGCAATTTAGCAATCTAGTGAGACCTTCTTTCAAAATAAAATTTAAGAGCCGAGCATAGTGGCACATGCCTGTAATCCCAGCACTCGGGAGGCTAAGGCAGGAGAACTGCCGTGAATTCAAGGCCAGGCTGACATAGCGAGACTCTGGCTCAAAAAACAACAAAAAAATCTTTTAAAATTGAAAATAAAAATTTAAAAGAAGGGATGAGAATTGTCTTAGTCACTTTCTTGTCACTGGAACAAAATGCCCAATACAAACAAGGCAGAAAGGAGATGGTAGAAGGGCCTACGTGGACAAATCTTTTCAGATCATGCCCCAATGACCTGCCTCTTCCAAGCAGACCCCACCTCCTAACTGCACACACAGCTCTGAACTCTTCAGTGGATTTTTTTTTTTTTTTTTTGGTGCCGGAGATCGAATCTTCAGTGGATTAATTCACTGGTGTGGGTCTAGTGTACCCAAGATCCAATCACCTTCCAAACATCTGAACCTTTGGGGGGACATTCTAGATCTAAACCAGAATGGGGATATAGCTCCGTGTCAAAGCCCTTGGTTCAATCCCCAGGACTGCAAAAATAAAAACAAAAAAAGGGCAGAGGCTGCCAGCAGCCCTCTCTGATCACCATTCATCCCGGCAGCTGCCAACATCCTGGGCCAGGAGCGTAAGGGTGTCTATGTGCTGATGAGCGGGCTGGACCTGGAGCGCCTGGTGCTGGCAGGTGGGCCCCTTGGGTAAGTGCGAGGCTGGGGGCACAGGGGTAGCTGGGGCCCCTCTGGGTAAGCACAAAGTGTCTGGGAACTGAGGTCCTTCAACCTCTCTGGCAAGAGCAGGCCTCAGAAGCAGTAGCAACCTTCCCCTTAGAGACAAAGGGAGCGACCTTTTGGCTGTGCCTGTCTTGGAGACAAACCCCTCTCCCTACGTTGAATTTCTTTACACAGAAGGGAAAGAAATGTCATCATGTGACAGAGCAGAGCAGTAGTTCTGCTTGAGGTGGGTGTGAAAGGAGAGGCAGGCCAGGCCTTGGCCTTAGGCACCCTATAGGGAGGTGCCCTCTCCCACCTCCCTCCAGCCTTGAAAAACAGGTAGAGTGTGGGCAGCTGGTGCTGTGACAGGCAAGGTAGAAGGAGTTTCGCAGGTCCTTATCTTGCTGAGCTCTCTTACCAGGCCTTTCTCTGACATGCTGCTGACCCAATTGGCACCGGTGGGATGGTGACACACCTCCACAACATTCTTGTCCTTCCTGGCAGGTTGATGCAAGCTGTCCTTGACCACACCATTCCTTACTTACACATGAGGGAGGCCTTTGGCCAGAAGATCGGGCACTTCCAGGTGAGCAGACTACTTTGCCGGGAAGTCCTCTTTCCTTGGCATGGGCTTTGGTGTCATGGGTAAGGAAGGAGGGCCTGCACTGTGGACACTGACTGCCCTTGTGTAGCACAGGGACCTCACATGCTGAGAGCACCAGCTGCGTGCACACACAGCCTGGCTTTGAAAGTGTTCGGGCTGTGCACCGCCTTGCCCCATTTCTAGTTGAGATGTATGAACTAGACGTAGGGAGGCTGGGGGTGGCGTGTGCAGCCTGTGGGGGGCTTAAGGGAAGGGCGGTGGCCTTTCTAGTCTGATCCTGTTGGTCTGAAGAAGCTGCAGGATGTTGATGCAAGTTGAGGCAGATCCGAAGTGCCTTGGGGACAAGGGCTTTGGGACACCGAAAGGGCCATTCCAGGGTGCAGCTCCCCCAGGGGAGCAGCAGCGCTCTGGCCTTCCTCCAAGATCTGTTCCCGTTTCTGCCATCCTAGGCGAGTCCTCTCTCCTCTGTGTTCCGATTCCCATTCCTGGCTGCCAGGTTGCCACTGCTGCTGACTAGCTTTGGCGACAGGGGAAGTGTCCTGGCCCTCTGACTCTACCTCCCTTTGGGCCCAGTTGATGCAGGGGAAGATGGCGGACATGTACACCCGCCTTGCGGCGAGTCGGCAGTACGTCTACAACGTGGCCAAGGCCTGTGATGAGGGCCACTGCACGGCCAAGGTGAGGGCCAGCCGGAGGGGGCGGTCAGGACTACACCACATGCAGGTGGGATCTGCTGACCCGGCTTCCTCCCCAGGACTGTGCCGGGGTGATTCTCTTCTCGGCCGAGTGCGCCACGCAGGTGGCCCTGGATGGCATCCAGTGCTTCGGTGAGTGTCCTACACCCTCCCTCTGGAGCTGCCTCTCCACCTGTGCCAGCCCCGGCTGAGCTGGCCACAGCCTTTTGGTGCCCCAGTTAGGAGGAAATGGAAAAGCACTTTGAGAAAACTTCTGGGGGACACAAGCAGCTACTACCTTTTTTTAAAAAAAATGATATGTTTGTGATACATAATAATTCCATTCATCTTAGGGAACTGGTACATATACGTATGGAATCTTGGTCATTTTTATTGCCTCTCCCCACACCCTCCTCACCTTCCACAGGTCCCCTTCCCATCTCCAGAGTCCCCCTCATTTCCTGCCATCTCTTTTTTTTTTTTGTGGTACCAGGGATCGAACTCAGGACCTTGTGCTTGCAAGGCAGGTAACAGCACCACTGAGCTAAATTCCTGGCCTATTGCCATCTCTTTTATTTTGCTCTTTAAATTACTTATATTAGAGAAACCATGTATTATTATTATTTTATTTTATTTTTTTTACAGTTTAATGTATTTTAATAGCAAACTTACAGGAACAGCACAGAAAGACAGACAACATTAAAAATATGTACTAGCATGTTTAAGACAACTCAGAAAAGTATAATGACTAGATGGAATCTACTGTATGATAAAAATGCTACAAACACCATTTAGTTGCCGTCAATAAGAAATTTACTTGTTTAAAAAAAAATCCAAATGCTGCCATTGTCCAGAAAAATTTAACAGGTTTATTTATAATTGTTATAAAGTTGAACTGCTGAAACTTGTTCACTGAAACATTTTGACTTGCATTAATGCTTTACATCCCCGCATTAATATTAAAAATTCACACACAAATGAAAATGGAAAAACTGCCAATACCTGATTTCTGTCCCCTATTTTCCACTCGCAATCATGTACTTAGGTACCTTTTGACCTCAAGGAAAAAAAATATCTAACATTCAGAACTACCAATAACAGGAAGAAGAGAAAAAAACTTTTTTGAGAATGAAATGCTTCCCACCATAATGGACTCTTAGGCACGTTCTCCACGTATGCGGCGTGCTAGCTGGATATCTTTTGGCATAATTGTTACACGTTTGGCATGGATGGCACACAGATTAGTATCTTCAAACAGGCTAACCAGGTAGGCCTCACTTGCCTCCTGCAAAGCACCAATAGCTGCACTCTGGAAGCGCAGATCTGTTTTGAAGTCCTGAGCAATTTCTCGCACCAGATGCTGGAAAGGGAGTTTGCGAATCAGAAGTTCAGTGGACTTCTGATAACGTCTAATTTCACGGAGCACCACAGTCCCAGGCCTGTAACGATGAGGTTTCTTCACCCCTCCAGTAGAGGGCGCACTCTTGCGAGCGGCTTTTGTAGCCAGTTGTTTCCTGGGCGCTTTACCACCAGTGGATTTGCGGGCAGTCTGCTTTGTACGAGCCATGGTACAGGAACCTCCTTAACCCCTTTCTCCCTCAGCTGGAGCTCGGCGAGCCGGAGGCGGCGCTGGCATTGGAGAGCGGCAGCGGCACGGTGGCGGCTGTGAACACCAACCATGTATTATTTAACTTGTGTCTGATTTCACTTAGTATTATGGTTCCAAGACCCATCCATCTTCCTATACATGACTTAAAATTATCCTTCTTTCTTTCTTTCTTTCTTTTTTGGTACCAGGGATCGAACTCAGGTCCTTGCGCTTGCACAGCAGGCGGTGAAACCACTGAGCTAAATCCCTGGGCCAAAATTATCCTTCTTTATGGCTGAGTAGTACTCCATTGTGTATATACTACATTTACTTCCTCTATTCATCTGCTGACAGGCACACAGGCCACTTCCATAACTTACCAATTGTGAGTTATGCTGCTATAAACTATGTTTACAGCAACCACCTTCAGCAGTGACACTCTCCTCCTCCCCACCTGGCCTCATGGGGACGTGGGGGAAAGAGATTCCTCGGGTGGAACTGCCTCGATTCCCTGCTGCCCAGTGGGTAAAGACACAGACTGGAGCCTTGCAGCCCAGGTCTGACTCCTGTGCCAGTCTCTTCTCCTCCTGCTTTGCGGTGTCTGCCAGCAGTTCGGCTCTTTCTTTGCCTGGTGTCCTTGCCACCCCAGGTGACCTCCTAGCCTCAGCTCCAGCCCTTGCCCACCTGACCCCCAACACGATATTCTCCAAGCCCACATAGCCTTCCTTTCTTGTCATTATTCTCCAAACATACAAGTATCTAAATAAGTACCCTATGGATGATTTAGAGAACATGGGTGCATGTGTGTAGGTCATGTGGAGACATGGTACCATTTTATATACATCCCCAGACCTTTTTCTTTTGGGACAGGGTCGCGCCAAGCTGCCCAGGCTGACCTGAATTTGTGATTCTTCTGCCTTAGCCTTCTGAGTAACTGGGACCACAGGCATACCTGACACCATCCTTGAGGTTTTTCAAATATTGAGGGCTGAGAATTTAGCTCAGTAGCACCACACCTGCCTCACAAGCGCAAGGTCCTGAGTTCGATCTCCAGTACTGAAAAAAAAAAAAAAAGATTGAGATGAGCTGGGTGTGGCGGTGCACGCCTTCAATACCAGCTCTCTGGGAGGGTGAGGCCGGAAGGGAGGTGAGCATGCGCGGTGCTGGGATCCTCAGGGCTCCTGGGACTGACCCCACAGACACAGCTGGACTGCGCCTTCTGTTTGCTGTCCTTTGCCCACGCCCACCGCTTGTGTTATCCTTTCTTCTCTGCCCAAACTTTGGCTGCAGGTGGCAATGGCTACATCAATGACTTTCCCATGGGCCGCTTTCTTCGAGATGCCAAGCTGTATGAGATCGGGGCTGGGACCAGCGAAGTGAGACGACTGGTCATCGGCAGAGCCTTCAACACAGATTTCCACTAGCCCCGCGGCCAGGAGCCCCGCGTCCCAGCACCCAGAGGCCTTTCTTCAGAAGCAGACCTGGCATTCTCCCGAACACCAAAGCAGGCCCTGCAGCCTTTGCCCACCAGCCTGCTGGCCTCTGCAGGAGGCTGGGCTCTCCACACTGGCTGCCAACACTGCAGCCTCCCGGCTGGGTCAGCCAAGCGGGAGTGCTTCCCACGGACTTGGCAGGTCTTTTCCCAAGTGTTGGCTGCGCTTTGGTAACCGTGCCCTGGCTCTGCAACTTCCCATCTTCAGGGGTGGCACCCATAGACACGCAGGTGCCCACCTCTTTCTCTTGTGGGGACCTCTGGCAGGCAGACCCACCCACTCAAGTGCAGCCCAAACCCTTAACCTGTTTGCCAGTTTCTTGAGGCCTCCACTCCCAGCAGCTCAGGACACCTGTGCCAGATGTGTGGAGGGGCAGCACCCAGGAGCCTTCTTCACCACACTGATGGTCCCAGCCAGGTGATTTCCAGAGCTGACTGGGAAATAGGCACAGGCCCTGGCCAAGGAGGCCTGAATCACCCGGCCCAATTCCAGCCAAGGCTGCCTGTGAGCATTTCTCTAGATGCCCTGTGGCTGTCTTACCACTGCCCAGTGGCTGCTGCCATTTTGTATTAAACATTGTGAGACAGCCCAGCCCCTCTCTGCTCCTAAACCAGTGTTTGGAGGAAAAACAATCTACTTGCTCCTGACTCCTGTCTAGATCCGATCTTGGAGAATGGCTGGTCCAGGTGCTGCTCCTGGGCGGCAGCTTGCTCTTCAGTCATGAGACACCTGAAGAAGGTAGAATCAGCCCTTGGGATAGAGGAAGTCTCAGCCCCAAATCTCTCTGATTTTCTTTTCTTTTCTTTTTGTGTTGACGATTGAACCACAGAGGGCTGAGCTACATCCCCAGACCTTTTTATTTTGAGACAGGGTCATGCCAAGTTGCCCAGGCTGACCTGAATTTGTGATTCTTCTGCCTCAGGCTTCTGAGTAGCTGTGACCACAGGCATGTGCTACCATACTTGATAGCATCCCTGAGGTTTTTCAAAGACTGAGTCAAGCTGGGCTAGTGGTCCACGCCTGTAGTACCAGCACTCTGGGAGAGTGAAGCAGGAAGAGCACAAGTTCAACCCCTAGGCAACTTCACAATTTAGTGAGACCCTGTCTGTAAAAATTAAAATGGGCTGGGGATCCAACTCAGTGTGAAGGCTCTGGGTTCAATCCCTGGTACACCCCCCTCCCAGTAAAAGACAATTTGAGTCTCAAAGTCAGAATTAGAGTCAGGATCCAGATGCTAACGGCACATATGGAAGTGTTCTGACCACACCAGCCCTGGGTTCCAGGGCACAGCACGCTAGACCGGGTACTGTCTGAGAGACCTGGGTCTGGGTTGTTGGACCCACTAAGCTCCCAAGGGAGGAACTGGCTTTCTTGGCTCCCAGCCCAGTGACACTTGTTCCCAGCTTTTAGTCCTGGCCTTCAGCCAAGTGCTGTTTGCAGCGTAGGTTTGCAAGAGGTGGGGTCAGCTCCTCACCAACCCCAGTCTTGTCCCATCTTAAGGGGAAGATCCATTTCATGTCTCCGTCCCACCCCATGCTATGTTTGAATGCAGCTGAAATGGTGATCATTTCAAACAAGTAGTTGGAACAAGCCACCTGCAGACACTCAAAATGTGCTAGAACGCAAGGTGTGGTCCTGTCAGTGCTGCTGGAGCCTTGCCAGTTTGGGGTGTGACCCCTAGAAGTGCATGTGTTGCAGCTTCAATCCTGAGTTATTTGTTACTGGTATTTGGAGGAGGGGTCCCAGTGGCATGAACATGATCTCCCATTTGCTTGTCCTTTAAGGCCTCCACCCAGTTACTATGCAGCAGGGGCCTCACCAGACACAGTGCCTCTTTTGGGCTTCCAGCCTCCAGAACTGAGAGCAGAAAAGCCTCTCCAAGCTACTAGGCTGTGGTATTCATTTACAGCAACAGGAATCAGACTAAGGAAGAATGTGATTGTTCTCCTGATCTTTTATGTGAAGCATAAGAGGAGTGTTTAAAATAAAACCAAAACTTCAACCTGAACTGTGCAGCTCGAGTCGCTTCTCTGTGATGGGAGCCTCCCACCACCATGTCATTCCTTCCCAGGCTGTGCCTGCTTCCACTCCAGATTCCAGATGGCCACAGTGCTGGTCCTGGGGCAGGACAAGAGAAGCTAAGGGCATGTTGAAGTGTGGTCTGGGCAGGCCCCAGGTCAGAATTAGGCAACTTGTAAATGGAGAAACCTAGATCCCAGCCCCAGACCTAATCTCTGCAGGGTGATACTGGACCTTCTCAGATAACCCATTGGCCTCGGTCCTAATTCTCACCCTCTAGTGTGGGGATAGCAATTCCTTTACCTCTGTACCCATCTTCCATTTCCTTTTAGACTTTAGCTCCTGGAACTTCGCTACCACTGGGTGCAGGAGGCAAGTTTGGGGACCCTTCCTAAGATGGCAAGGTGTGATCGCTTCTCGGCCTTTTGGCTAAGATCAAGTGAAGATGGCAAGGTGAACCGCCCAAGGGTCTCCCGGACCAAGGCAAGTGGGTTGGGTGGGAGCCGTTGCGCCCAGACGCCAGGGACTCAGGCTGGGGAAGGTTACCCAGCCCACGGCCTGCCTGACGGGAGCTGAGACCCAAGACCCCGGTGGCCGTCGGTCAGGATCTGCAGCGTTGAGCTGGTCCGGAGCCCTCCTGTCCCCTTCCCCCGGGGCTCCGCGTGGCCGCGGCGCTTCGTGGAGCTCGTCTGCCCCCTGTCGGCTGGCTGCGGGGTTGCAGGCGTGCAGAGCCAGCCGCTCGCCGCCTTTCCAGGGTGCTTTGGGTGCGCTGCTTCCACGTCTGAGTTTCAGCGCACGCAGGGGTCCACCGTGTTTTATTTTACTTACTAACTGAAGTCATGGGGCTGCGGTCTTTACCATGATAATTACATACAAGAAAGGCCACTTCAACAATTTAAAAGTAGAAAGGACATAAGCTCAAAACAAAGGCCTGTTGGGCCGGGGATTTAGCTCAGTGATTTCACTGCCTGCTGCTCCAGCGCAAATGCAAGGACCCGAGTTCGATCCCCGGTACCAAAAAAATACCCCAGAAAGACCTGTGCTGTATTTTTGTTTCTGTATATCATTTTTAAAATATTATAATTTTAAAAGATTTTTTGATACTCGGGATTGAACCCAGGGCCTGTATATGCTAGGGAAGTGCTCTACCACGGAGCTGCACCCCCAGCCCTAGGGCTTATTTAAAAACATAAACAACAGCAAAAAATCCTGTACCCTGTCCCTCCCTCCTGCTCTCCCTCCCACTCTCAGGACAAAGCCGCTTCTGAGTCTTGAAGGGATTTCTTTGGGAAATGCATCCTCTAAGGGATGCGGTTACTTCTTGATAGATTTGATTGTAGATACTTCCAAGGAGAGTTCTTTAAAGTGCACACATTTGCTTTATGCAATCTCATTACACACTCATATTTTTTTCTCTTCCTCAGACTGGCCCTGCCCACCTGCCAGCTTTTGGAAGCCCTGGGATTAGATGGTCTAGAGTTCTGTCCACATTCCTGGCTGGCCCCACTTCTGGCCATGTCCAGAGCCCAGGGCCACACTAGTAGGGGGGGTGCTCCTCTGCCTGTGTGCTGCCCTCGCTCAGCCTGGTGTCTCCTAACTATTCCTCACAACAACATGCCTACTTGCCTCCCTTCTTCCAGTCCATGCCCTCAACCTTTATGCTAACCCAGAGGGAGTTACCAAGCTCCCCAAAACCCTTCAGTGGCTCCCAGAACCTCTAAAATAGAGGTTGTAGTTGGGCTTCATAGCACAAGCCTGTAACCTTGGCTACTCAGGAAGCTAAAGCAGGAAGAGAGCTCGAGCCCAGAAATTAGGGATAATCTGGGCAACATAGCAAGAACCCATCAGGAAGAAAGAGAGGGAGGGAAGGGGGAGGAAGGAAGGAAAAAGAAAAGAAACAAACTAAGGTTTTGCAAGGCAAATAAGACTGTGATGCACCTTGACCTCCTGCTGGCTGCTCACCCTCTCCTGCTGAGCCTGGGCTCTCACTACAAGCTGCCCTCCCTGCCAGGTCCCCCACCCTGGAGCCTTTGCCCTGGCTGGTCCCTGTGCCCAGGAAGCCCTTCCAGCCTTCACCCTGTGCTCCTGCTTCCTCAGCCCTGAAGCCTCGCCCTTCAAGAAGGCCTTTCCTGTCCCACCTCTGTCTGGCCCTCAGTCCCTGAGCCTGTCCATGCTGGGCCACCCCTGCTCCCTCCCCATGTCCTGCAACCATGGGTTTACATAGAGGTGCACGTATTTTACCTGTGTCTGTTTCCCCTTCAGTAGGCCGTGAACTTGAGGGGCATGGCAGTGTGATTTCCCCATCTTTATATGATCAGAATCCGGCACAATTCCTGGCACATGGTAGGTGCTCAACTCCTTCACACGTCCGTTGAGACAGTTTATGGCTCCCATTTTACTGGCGTCGTAGTTATTTGTGTGTGCGGTCACCTCTAGTGTACTTAAGATCTCTGAGGCTGAAAACCATCTCCTCCATCTCTCAGCCGGGGAGCAACACCCAAAGCTCGAAGCGAGCGCTCAGCCGCTCTGTTCATGCTGAATGAGTGAAACAACAGGTGGTCCAGGGCCTCAGCCTAATCCCAGAGCTGGCACAGGCAGCAGGGCAGCCAGCTTTGGCTGGCCCTGCACTCCCAGGCCTTCCCACCCTGGAGTGGCCAAGGCCCCGCTGTGAGAGGGAGGCCCTCGCGCTCCTTGTGCTCTGACCAGCTCTGAACTGAAGAAAGGCAGTCTTCTGGGGGACCTGGCCTCTCCTCTGCAGCTGGAGATGGAATGAGGCTGGATAGAAAAGGAAGCAGAGCAGGGCCACACACCATCCTTTTTGTGTGTGTGTTAAATGTGTGACATATAAGGAAGAGCTTGCAATGTGCATACGTACACTGTAGAAAGTAATAAAACTCCAGGCATGGTGGTGCACACCTGTAATCCCTGCACTCTGGAGGCTGAGGCAGGAGGATTATTGAGAGTTCAAGGGCAACCTAGGCTACATAGTGAAACCCTATCTCAGAAAAAAAAAAAAAAGCAAAAAACAAAACCTCCAGTATACTGTCCTCCGGCCACTGGCCCACACACAGCTCTCGACACCTTGTCTGTAAAGCTTTGTAGAATGCATGGTCTAAGGGCCTGGCCAGGGAAGCAGCACTGGACATCCAGAAACCCCCAGGGCCGCCTCTGGGGCTGACATGCCACCTCTGGAAGCAGACACACCGCCACTTTGGAAGACAGTTTGCACTTCCTCAGGGAGTTGATCGGGTACTTGCACTACAACAGAGAGAGCCCATTCCAGAGAATGGGCCTGGAATTCCAGGTCCGCGAAGAGAACATTCCAAGTGCCCCAAAGCCCACGTGTCCCACTGTGTGTTTTGGTACAGGGGATGGAGCCCCAGGGCCTCATGCATATTAGACAAGAGCTTTGCCACTGAAGTACACCCATAGCTGCCTTTTTCCTTTCTGTTTTTTTTTCTGGGGGTATGAGGATCGAACTCGGGACCTTGTGCTTGCAAGGCAGGTGGTGGAACCACTGAGCTAAATCCCAGCCCTCTGTTTTGTTTTTTGTTTGTTTGTTGATAGAGGTACTCTCACTGTGCTGCCCAGGCTGGCATTCAACTTGAGGACTCAAGTGATCTTCCTGATTCAGCCTCCCAAATAGCTGAGGTTACAGGTGCACCACTACCCCCAATGCATTTTCCTGCCTTTCCACAGATTCCAACCTCTCTATGTGTTCCTAACAATACTTTTTCTAAACTCTCCATGGTTGGGTATGTATCTATTATATATATTCTTGCTTCTTTGGCTCATTGTTATATAGTTTTCTTTGTTAATGAGAAGAACTATAATTTGTTCAGCTTTGTTTTTTGTTTTTGTATAGTAATCCATTGTGTGGAAATACTGCAATCTAAATTCTGCTGGTGGGCTAGGGATTTAGCTGAGTGTCACCACACCAGCCTAGCAAGCACAAGGTCCTGAATTCAAGTCCCGATACCGAAAAAAAATAATAATCAATTCTTCACATGCTAGTGAGCATGCGGCAGTTCAGAGATTCCCTGCAGGTGCCTTCTAACGCAGGGGCAGGTGTGTGATTTCTAGGCCCATTCTCTGGAATGGGCTCTCTCTGTTGTAGTGCAAGTGCCTGATCAACTCCCTGAGGAAGTGCAAACTGTCTTCCAAAGTGGCGGTGTGTCTGCTTCCAGAGGTGGCATGTCAGCCCCAGAGGCGGCCCTGGGGGTTTCTGGATGTCCAGTGCTGCTTCCCTGGCCAGGCCCTTAGACCATGTGTTCTACAAAGCTTTACAGAGAAGTTGTGGAGAGCTGTGTGTGGGCCAGGGGCCGGAGGACAGGGCTGAGTCAGCACAGAGCAACCTCACAAGGGACTCGGTGTGTCACATACTCAGCTGGCAGCCAGACACTTCTGCCTTGCCCTGAAGACCTTGGGGAAAGTAAAGCTAGAAGGGTAAGTAGAAATTTTCTTGAAAAGAAGAAAGCTATTCTAGGCCCAGGGATATCTCAGCATAGGAGGACAGAGGATCAGTGGATGAAGCACAGAAGGCTGCCCTGGCAGGCAGGAAAGGAAGAGCAAAAAAGAAGACTAGCCAGCCATCCTGGTTTACACCTGTCGTCCCAGCTACTAGGGAGACTGAGGCAGGAGGATCTCAAGTGTGAGCCTAGCCTGGGCAACATATAGAGTGAGACTCGGTCAAGAAAACGAGCACGTAGGCAGGGGGAGATGTGGCTCAGTGGTAGAGTGTCCCTGAGCCCTGGGTTCAATCCCAGTACAAGACAAAGATAGCCAGAGAGAGAGAGAACGAGAGAGACAGAGAGAGAGAGAGAGAGAGAGAGAGAGAGAGAGAGAGAGAGAGAACCAAGTCTGTGCCCCACTGATGTGCTGATAGAGGTGGACACAACTCCAGATCCAGCCAAGCACGCTTTGCGCCTTGTGCCCATGAAAGAGCAGACACGGCTGAGCACACACACGGATGTGCACACCGCTGCACAT